CTGACCCGACCAATGTGGGGTTTGCTCAGGCTACTGAAGCACCTGCGCGGGCTGCCTGCTGCGGTGGGGGCGGGGCTCAAGCCTCCAAAGACCCACGTTGTGCTCCCTCCCGGGCCCCAGGCTACAGACCCTGCTCTAAGCAGGGGTGAATGTGAGTAGTTTTAAGACGCCGGCATGTGCGCACATAAATGCCCCCGTGGGCGCCATAGCGCCCGCGGGCACAGTGTTGGGGACCATGGGTTTAGACCATCCCTGATAGACATTTATCTAACCTACTCTTAAATATCTCTGGAGATGGAGATTCCACAACCACCATAGGCAACTTATTCTAGTGTTTAACCACCCTGACAGTTAGGAAGCTTTTCCTAATGTTCAACCTAAACCCTCCCTTGCTGCAGTTTAAGGCCATTGCTTCTTGTTCTTGATAATTATGTCCAGATAAACAGAGATCCACTAGATCCACTTTGGGGAGGGTTTTCTGTGGTATTTTGGTGTTAAAGGATTATCAGAAGCACAAAACAAATAAAACAGATTAGTCTGGTTTGCTTATCTACATTTTTGACTTTAAAATACTGATTTATCTGTCTGAAACTACTACATTTAGACTCTAGAAGTATATTTAATTTGTGAATTCAGTTCATATTACCCTCATACCCATATAAATTTCATCTTCTCCAACTCTGTCACTAGTAGGGTTCAGTCTTACAAAAATAATGGAATGCTGCGATTAACTGCATGGATTAGAGGTTGATGAACTATAAAAGACAGCATGCCACAGAGCTCTCAAAAGTGACCCAAGTACAGAACAAATCTTTTGATAACCAAAGAGCAGGGATTGAGGTTTGAGCACGGATATGGCTTTTTTACAAGAACAGTTCATGGAACCGTAAATCTGGGAAACAAGTGACCTATGTTAACTAGTTCTATCTCCTGCTTCCAATAATTCTAAATTTCTCTACGTCTACACAGCAAGCCGTTATTTCAAAATAGAGGACTTTACTCCAACTCCTGTAACCCTCATTTCACAAGGTGTAAGGGAAGTTGAAGAGTGTTCTTCCTTTGACTTCCTGCTGTTGACACAGAGCCAAAAGCCAAATTCAGCTACTTCGACTTCAGCTGGGCAATTGATGTAGCTCAAGTTGCATATCTTAATTCAACTTTTGCCCCGCAGTACAGACATGCCCTAATAGTGCATACTGGAACTGAGACAGAACTTCCAGCCAGTACTAGAAATAATGGTCTGATCAGACAGCAAGCCACCTGGATCATAGTAGTCAGAAGTCCCGTGTCTACAAACCCAACAATTAGGACCAAACAGAGTCTAGTTAATGGTCAGGTGTGAAGAGCCTGACCAAGTAGAAACTAATACTATCCTTCTATAGATATAAGCAAAGGAAGCTCTATTGTACAATTGACTTTTTTTTTTAAATACAGGCAGTTCCCGACTTACGTCGGATCCGCACTTACGAACGGGGCTCTCTCGCCCCGGAGCTCGCAGGCAGCGATCCGCCACCTCGACCTCCGGGGCAAGAAAAGCTGCTCCTGGTGCCCCTGGTCTGCTGGAGACCGTCTCCAGAAGCAGCGGGTTCCCGCGCTTCTGAGGCTTTGCCCAAGCAAAGCCTCAGAGGTGTGGCACCCCGCTGCCGCTGCGGTTTTGCTCCCCGTGTCCCTGGTCTGCTGGAGAGGGGGGGGGGGGGGCGCCAGGG